CATGGCAATAAAGCTACTAAAACACAAGAGGTTATTGAGTGTGAAAGAATATGAGAAAAAGAAAACATTATTAAGGAGAGAAAACAATAAAAGAATGACTGACATTGCATTTAAAGTTTTGAAGCTCAAACTCTACTAGAAAGCAAGAAACTGAAAGAGAGTTCCACAAGTGAGAAGTACAAAAGAAGAAACTGTTAACATAGAACTTCACGTAGCCATTTCAACTATAAAATGATGAGACCTAACTACCAATCTAGTACTACACTTAAATTCATAAAATCAAGGTAGCAAAGAGGAAAGATCATCAGTGCAATTATCATGAAAATATTTATAGAAAAGACACAGGGAAACCACATTACAGCAGTGAGAATGTGTCTGAAGGCTTGACTCCAGGTCAGGACAAATAACATTGCAGATTCTTCATAGCAGAAGCACCAAACCAGATGCAGCAGCAATATTCAATGTATGGATAAATAGTGGACTTATAAATGTGTAAGATATATCTTGGCAAGTAAATTTATCAAGCACAACACAGTGAACCCACTTTTCATGAAACAGATGTAGCAATATAATCTTTCCGCTTCATGTAAGTGAAAAACGTCAACTACAATGTAACAAGTCTTCGATTGTATCAATCTGACAAATGTGGTTATAAGTTAATGGACACTAAATATAACAAAATCTTTGATGGATTTAATTATATCTACCACCATCAAAGCAAAAATTATTAAGGAAAAATATTGTTGGATTATTACTGTAACTTCATCTGTGTTCCTTATTTGGACGAGTTTATATATATGTAATGACAAAAGTATGCAGTTGTAGACTTTAAGAAAGCTTTATTCAACTGAGAATACAAGGTTCGCATATAGTGTCCTTTTATAGTCCCAGTAGACAAAAATAGCTCTCTCAAAGAAGAATGTAATAAAACAAGGAGAGACCACTCTTGATTATTCATAACAATATGTATATATTTTTTAATCAGTATCACCTCATGCAAGTTGGTAAAGCCACGAAGACACAAGGTGTGAAATAATTAAGAACAGAAATACTAATAATGAGCAGGAAGAGGAAAGTGTAACCAGGAGGACAGAAGATAACAATTGAAATGACATTCAAATTTTTACAGATTAAAGTTGGCTGAAAAGCATGAAGGTGGAAGAGAGGTCCACAAGCAAGAAGTGCAAGAAAAGAAACTGTTAGCATAGAATTTACAGTTACATATAGCCAGCTCAACTGTAAATTGTCGAGTTCTTGATGCCAGTCTAGTACTGCACTTAAATTCAAAAAGTCTAGGTACCATCTGAACAATTATCATGAAAGTATTTATAGAAAATGCACAGAGAGGTAACTTATGGTGGTGGGAAAGTTACTGAACACAAGTCGCCAGATCAGGACCAATAATATTGCTGATTCTTCTTTGGATTTTATCAAAAAGCTCAAGGTAAATAGCAGTAGCACTTGACCATATGTGGCAGCAATAAAATACTAATTTTTTTTCTGATTTTATTAGAAATTTATAAAATTGTAATATTGATGGTGAAGTATAGAAATTTAATCTTTGAAATAATTAAATATGAAATGAGTAAGCAACCTTTAAACCATTTTATATATTCAACACATTATATAACAAAGAGCATGTTTTAAGCTTGGCTTATTGGAGATTGGTATATCCTCACAGCTCTTTAATAGAATATAACCTCAGAATATAACATGCAATTAACATTATATACTGGAAAATACAACATCTAATTGAAAGTGAAGATTATAACCATATTAATACCCAGCATTAACCCATTCAACACATAGTTTGTGCTTATTAATATTGTGACACTATTTAGCTATGGTAATTGGCTAACTAATTAATCATAGAAATTAAAACAGAAAATAGAAATTCTTAAAGCAAAAAGAAAGATCTATAATGAAAGATAGACTGATTGACATTAAAAGAAAGATTTTAATTTGTTTACAAAAAAAAAACCCATGGAGAGAGCTGTGTGTGAGGTCCTGTCAAGTTGATTTATGTATCGCTGAGGGAGATAGAAAGAAAGGCAAATATGTAATTATTGGCCAAAACATGTGCCAATACAGACAGGGAGAATCAATGTTAATTATCTTTCCAAGATGTCGCTTAATTTTTTTTCTTGGATACTGGTGAAGAGAAGCAATGTGGCAATTATAAAATTTTGGCATTGTCTTGATATAGGTGAGAGGATTGTTATCATTTACTTTGCCATTCGACGTCTTAGTGTCTGTTGGCAATGTGGCAATTGTAAACTTTTGGCAGTCCTCAGAAAATAGTGGAGAATTGAGATTTGACAAGATAAAAGGAATTTAATTTCTTAACAAGTCAAGGATTCCATGACAAGGCTAACTTGGCATAAAGAACCAGATGGCAAACTTTGACAGTGATTAAGGAGACGGTAAGAGTGCTGGATAAGTGACTTTTGGGTGGCCCAGGAAAAAGAAAACATGTGATAAAAAATTTAATTGGCAAGGAGAATTTTGTAAACAAAAATTCTAGATTATAATTTTAAGGAGGCCAGCTTAGCCAAACCTGCACTGCCGAGAAATCATTGGTAGTATGGTGATAGGCGTAGGTGAATGGATGAGAAAGACAGAGAAGATGTTAATGCCAACTGAAGGGATTGGTATGAGATATCAATGTGAGAGAGAAAGAGTCTAGGAGGATATCTCTCCTCTGACCTTCCCTCACGAACAACGGAGACCCCCCCCAAATAGGAAGTGGTTAATTTTCCAAAAATTGGAAATAATCAATTTTCCTGTCCTGACAACAAAGAGATTTCTTGTTAGAAATAGAGATTACGGAGAACCCCAGGCCACATCGGGCACACACACCAGGTTTTGGTCGGTACCCATATAAACGACCATCGATGGGTCATTCAGTTGAGTTGGTAAAGTTCTAGTTAAGTTGGAGTTGAATAGAAGTTAAGTTGGAGTTGGAGAAGCAGTTGCAGTCAGAGCTTAACCAGAGTGTTGCCTCGCTGAAGCTGACGAAGAGATTCCATGACCTTCGACTTCGCCGATGCTAGCAATAGCAAGTTATACTGATGAAAGAAGTTAAGCCAGCACTTAAAAACTAAACCTTTTGACTTAGAGGACCAACTTGCTTGAAACAGAAGAGTCACATTTTGTAGGAAACAGGCTGGGAGAAGAACATGGCTCCTGTATATAACAGAAGGATAAAGTTGGATTGTTATTTCCTAACATACTTGAACCTCTTGGGTTTTTCTTTTATTTATTTTTTTTTGTTTGCGCTTGTGTGGTGCCACCTTCAATCTGGACTCAGCTTGCTCTACTGCCCGACACCTGATTGATCTCATCTACCTAAGATCAAAGTCACAACGTGGGTAGGTTAGACTTGAGATCAAAGCAGTTACTCCAGTAACCAGACGTTGCAAGTGAGCTGGGAACGATAGAGTTGGCATTGAACTGGTACAACTGGTGAAGCCGTTAACATCGACGACCAGATTTCGACCCTGGTGGCACATATTGGTGCCTTGACCACTGGATTCGACCCTAGACGGCTGAGTGTCAAATATTGGTATCCTGACCAGGGGATTTTGTCAAGTAGCAATGACCACCGAACGACCGGGACACAGGCTGGTGGCAGTGACAAAGAGTCAACCCCAAAATGCCAGTAGAAGAAACCTTACAGCTTGGTGCTGCAACTAGGAGTTGACCACGGGCCAACAGCTTGGTGTCACAATATAACAATGTAGCATCTAATCACCAAAAAGAATAATATAGCCTAACATGTAAGGAGAATAAGGCTATTCACATGAGCAACTGTGTACTGGCCATTTGCATCTCTTTACTGCAGATTTGTCCTGTTACTCAGGCAGGTCTAAAATAGTGAAATTCACATGAAATATTCTGCAAATGGTCAAATGTCAACATTCAAAAAGTAAAGGAATTAGCTTAAAACTTTATTAATTAATAAATGTATCATTGACCTATTTGTAACGAACTTTCAGCCATATTAATATCAATTTGTGCATTTAGACCCAGTTTTCCCCTATATTAAGATCAACTAGTACATTTAGACCCAGTTTTCCCCTATATTAAGATCAACTAGTACATTTAGACCAATCTCCAATCATATTATCAATTAGCACATTTAGACAAAGCTTTTAGCAAACTTAGACCTTTGTGCCTGCAAAAAAACGGAGTGATAAAAGAACAGTTTTTTTCCCTTGACATTGCTATTATTTTAACTACCTTCACTCCTCAGCAATGTTTATTGTTTTAAAAAGTAATGATTAGAATTGTAATTAAACATCTAAACATATGAAAGTGAATTTATGCATTTTTTGTTCTTGAGAATTTACAAAATATTAAACAATATTTATTAAATTGTTTATTTACAAGAATAATTGTATATTTACAACAATCTAGAAACTAATACAATTAAAACTAACACAATGTAATATTTATCATTTAACAATTAATAAAGAAATAAATGTGAAAACAATTTTTTATTCATAAATTTATAAACATTTACTAAATTAGTAAAATATGTGAATCAAGTATGAGGAAATCCTTATTATTTACCATTTTATAAAGTTTGAATCAATTGGCAACTAGCCAATGTTTTGTGAACCATATCAATAAACAATATAATAAATAAATAGTGTAAATAATTTTATTTTGCAGGCGTGAAGATTCAAGTTTGGCAAGCTTTCACCCATATTGATATCAATTAGCACATTTAGACTAACACTTCAACCATGTTAATATCAATTAGCACATTTAGACCACAACTTCAATCATCTTCAGATATCTATCGATCTATTTAGACCAAGCTTTCAACTAGAAACACACTAAAAATTAATTAATCAACAAATCAAAGCAAATGAACATATTTATTCCACTAGATATACACATACTTTTTCAGTTGTTCTTTTTTTTTTTTTTTTTTTCTCAACAAGACTTTTTCAATTTTTCAAATTCATTTGGTTATGTTTATGCACTCTCACCTGGTTTGTTGACATTCGCTTTCTCTGGGGGTTCGTAATTGCCTAGAATGCCATCTTTGAGAACAGCTAACAGTTTTTCGTCTTTTAACGGTGCCATGTCATCATGATTTTCCAAAATTTGTGCTGCATCCGTTACTATCTTCATGCTATTTTCTTCATGCTTGCTAAGAACGTCTTTTGCAACATGCTGAAAAATAAGATTGGAAAAAAGGTTTTATGTTTTTCTTTTCTCAAAAGAAAATTGTCAATTTAATCATATTATCAAGGATTAGCTAAATTTTTTTTTAATCATTTCACCCCCAAGAAAAGCAATAAAGCCACTAAGATGCAAAGGGTTACTGAGTGCGAAAGAATATGAGAGAAAGAAAACATTATTTAGCAGAGAGAACAATAAAAGAACACATAAGATAATGGTTGACATTGTATTTAAATTCTTGAAGATTAAAGTTGACTGAAAAACAAGAAGCTAGAAGATAGTTCCACAAGCAAGAAGATATTGTTAGCATAGAACTTACAGTTTCATCATGTTATAAAATTTTCTATTTTCCTAATATTAATGTTTGCCATTTTCTACTGACACCTGGCAATATTAGAAACCGTTGTTTCAAGGATTCTTGTTTGCACTGAAAAACAGTTCATCCACTCCTATTACTGATACAGACAGACGGACTTAATCTGCTAATGCACCATCTTTCCATATCCATATATACCAATATTTCTCACTGCAAAATTTACCAGAGTGCCATGGACATTTTTGATTGAATTTTTTTAAAGAGATGAAACATAATCCTTGTCCAGACTGTATTAACAACTACCTGCCTATTCCCTGAAGAGGGGTTAGAACAGTATCTTCAGTGCTTAAAAAATCTTAAATCAAGACTGTGACTTTTAAGTGACAACAGCAGGTATAAGACAAATTTATCAGAGACTCCTTTATAAATGGATTAGAATCAAACTATATCCATCAAAGATTGCTGGAAAATAAACAACTAGATTTAGCTACTGCTTGCAAGCAGGCATTTACCTTGGAGATGGCAGAAAAGCAATCTTGTTCATACCTACAAACAAGTGTTGCAGAGGCTGCACTAAGTACTCACACTACTAGTAGCCCACCAATTCAAACAACCCAAACAGAGAAAAAAAGGGAAGTTCTCTACGAAAGATTTCTTAATTTCTGACCCCCACATTTCCGCCAGTTCAAAATCTTGTCTCTCCAGAAGACACTGCATACACTGCTAGTGCTGCAACCAGGCAAAAATGTTATTTTTGTGGTCTCAAACTACACTCCAGATCGTGTTGCCCAGCGAGAGAAACTAAATGCTACAAGTGTGGGAAGAAGGGATATTTCACTAAGGTTTGTCGATCAAGTTTTTTTTACCTGGCTTGAATGCTCCTATTGTGACTAGTATTGTATCAACTGCAAACCCTAAACGTCTTTCAAAGGCTATATTAGTGGTAAAATTGATAGGGTAGAAATGAATGCTCTAGTCAACACAGGAAGCTCAGAGAATTGTAAACCAATGGCTACCAAATCTTGAAAATATCCTCTTGATGACAAAACATTTATTCAATTAATAATAGCAAGAATGTTAAGTGAAGGAATAATCGAAGAAAGCAGATTACCATGGAGGGCACAAGTATTAATAACATCCTCTGATAATAATAAAAAAGGATGGTCATAAACTACTCCCAAAACTATAAAGAGGTACACCCTCCTGGATGCATACCCTATACACCATATTGAGGGCAACTTGACGTGGTGTAATGGTTAGCAAGCTTGTCATGCTAGATCAGTTACTACTGAAAAGTGAGTTCGATCCTCACTGGATGCCCTTTACTTTCGGCCTTGTGCTACATCCAAGCTATGCTTGGAAAATCACTATACACCATATTGATGAGATGATAAACAAGATTGCCAAATACTGAGTATTTAGCATGTTAGACCTAAACAGTGCATGCCATCAAGTAGCTGTATACCCTAAAGATAAGCTTTATACAGCTTTTGAATGCTACGGACAACTGTATCAGTTCCAGTGGATTCCATTTGGGGTCACTAAAAGGGTTTCCCATTTTCAGTTTCCCCAATAAAATAATTCTTGAAGAAAAACTACAAGGCACTTTTGCCTACATAGATAATGGTGACAGTTTTTGGCGGCTGTCAAGAAATATAACCTTACACTCAACCATGACAAGAGTTTTTATGGGCTGACAATCATCAGACTACTTGGATATATAGTGGGTAAAGGAATCATGAAGCTGAACCTTGAACAATTAAACCACTGATAAAACTACCTATTCCCAACACCATAGCTGCCTTGCAATGAGCCATGGGTATGTTCACTCATTATTCTCAATTTACCATCCTTTTCTGAAAAAATACACCCACTTATGAAAATTACCAAATGTGTTGTTAAAGCCTTTGAGGGATTAAAAAGAGATATTGCCAACTCAGCCATCACTTCAGTAAATCCTGACCTTCCCCTAGAAGTAGAGATTGACGTTTCCAACCACACCATAGATGCGGCATTAAGGCAATTTGGGTGCCCTGTAGCGTCCTTCCCCAGAATATTGTCAAAATCTGAGTGTAGATATTCAGCTGTTGAAAAGAAGGCTTATGCCATAGCTGAGGCACTTAAAAATGGCAACATTTCTTAATTGGTCACTACTTTGACTTTTGGTCAGTGATTAATTTAGTCTCTTTTATGTTTAATCCCAAGATGTCAAGCAAAATAAAAAATAAAAGATAGTGAGAAGATAGAAGGTAGAGCTTTCCTGATTTTTTGTTTGACGTTTTCTATCAATTGGGAAAAGAAAATGTAATGGCGGACATGCTGTCGAGAGTGTGTGCATCAATAAACAGCACCAAAGATCTACAAAAAGTTCATAATGATCTCTGACATCCAGGCATCACGAGCATGATGCATGTGGTTCAAAGCTGGAATTTGCCTTTTTTCAGTTGAGAACATGAAACAAATAACAAATGATTGTCAGATTTGCACTTGAATAAAACCAATGTTCTACAAACCCAAACTGGGAACCCTAGTAAAAGCTACACAGCCATTTGAGAGACTGAGTATGGACTTTAAGGACCATCTCCAATCTAAATCCCGAAACAAATATCTACTGTCATTGATGAGTACTCACAATTCCCTTTTGCCTTTCCCTGTCCAGATGTAAGTGCAACAACAGTCATATGCTGTCTTTGCTTACTGTTCTCAATATTCAGAGTGCCAGCTTATATTCATACAGATCACATGGTCTCTTTTATGACTGATAAGATTCTTATTGGTACAGGGAGTGGCCATAAATCGGACTACCCCATACAATCCTCAAGGGAATGGACAGTGTAAGAGATACAATGGCATAATATGGAAGACTGTACAGTTAGCACTTGAAAACCAAAACCTTCCAATTAGACATTGGGAAGACGTAATAACCGAAGCTCTGTATGCTATAAGAACACTATTGTGTACAAGAACTAATGCAACACCTTATGAAAGGTTTTAAAAATTTCCAAGGTGAAGTTCAGCTGGAATCTTCCTACCTTCGTGGCTCTCAGAGCCAGCTACTGTTTTACTTAGAAACCATGTTCAACAAAGCAAATATGATTCTCCTGTAAGGTGGAATTGCTTGAGGCGAACCCACTCTATGTGTGCATCCAGCACCTTGATGGGAGACAATCGAATGTTTCCCTCAGAGATTTGTCCTCTGCCAGTGAGTTATCAAACCTGAAGGAGGAGCAGCTCTCCCCTGAAGCAATATCTTTCCCTCTTGATAGTAATGATGACACAATGCCATTGGATTCTCCCGAGGAACAAAGCCCCGATAGTAACAATTCAGAGATCAACACTAGAATTGCTGCCTCAAAACGAAAGCATACTACTACAGACTCTAATAATCAGCTTTCAGAATCAGAGCACCCCACTCCAAGAAGGAGACAAAAACAATATGAGACTAAATACTTCTGGCCAACTGTTCTCATAACACCTGAAAAGGTCAGCTGCCACTAAAACAATTCCATTGTCAAGAAACCCAGTCACCTGGATGATTTTGTGTTGGACTAGGAGAAAACAAAGCCAAGGAGAATGTGGTAAGACAAACCAATTACCTCCCCTGTCTTATGATTTGTATAAATAAGCCATGCTGTCTTAGCCAAAATGGCAAGACACTTCAGTTATGTTCAATAAAGGCATATTAAGCCAAACTAGACACCAAGTTTTCATTACAGCCATATTTGATATATTGTCTGATCACCATTTAATATTACAGAATTATAGAGTAACACAAGGTCTAGGTTCTGTGTCTGAGTAAACATTAACTTATTAGATATGTTAACTCTGCTTGCAAGATCCTAGAGGTTTGAATGACAGGGTGGAAAAAGTGGGGTTCTTATATGCTGTACATTTTCTAATAGTCTTTTATTTACCTTACTTTTGCTCCCCATCACAACTTTTTATTCTGAATACCTTCCACCCCTTTAAGTATCCTGGAGAAAGAATAAAAAAGCAGTTTATGACTATATCCTCTGAGCTTTCATGCAGAATGCCTTAACCAATTCAACCAAAAAAACCAATGGCTAGATGAGGTACAAATCTACAGTCATTGCTATCTCTAATCCAAACCCTTGCAGTATACTTTGTTTTTAAACCATAATTATTTTGATTTGTTTGTTTGTTTTCTTTAGAGTGGGGAGGGGGGCATTTGAGATCAGGTTTAATAAAAATTATTTTATTGCTATTTCCCAATAATTTAACAGTCCAAGTATATTCAAAAGATAAAAAGAAAAAAAGCATACTTTAGGACATGGGCAATCATGGCCCTCTACAACTTCCTGTTTCTTGTAGCCATTAGTAAAGTTTGTTTCCTTTTTGCTATCTCAAGAAATCCCTGTTCTGCCAACCATTTATACAAGCTTGTCAGGTAGGTTATGTGCTGTTTTCCTCTGTCCCTCTTGCCTTCAATATGTCAATATATGAGTGTTAAATTTTCCAAGTCATTGGTTAATGGTTAACCTTGGACTTGAAGAATTTAAGACTATAGTGATTGCGAAAGTATCCTCTCAGGAGCCTGTTCCACAAAGTAGCATTTCTTGGAAAGAAGCTGACCAAATGGAACTTCCTTGTTACTAATGGCATATGGTGGGAATATGAATGACACAACCCTGTCTACATGACATAATAAGTCTTA